GTATTGCATTTAGGTGGGGGGGCGGAGCAAAGAGGAATAAGATAAAACGATTTGACTACCCTCAGGGAGCTCAGTCTGCTTGGAAGCTGGTGCTTTACCAGAGTGCATGGGTGCTGGAGAAGGAGTACCTAGACTGCAGTGGGGGCAGGACATCCAAGGCTTGCCAGGTGCTGAGATCTTGTTCAAGTGGATGAGAATACAGGGCATTACCAGCAGAAGCAGCAGTCTGCACAAAGGGTGTCAAATGCATGTTTGCATGAGGGTCTATGGGATTAGGGACAGTGGAAGAAGAGGAAGCTAGAAAGGTAGGGGTTAAATCATGAAGGACATAGGAGACTCCCCCGAAGACTTGCACTTTATCTTTACAGTGATGAGAAGTGGTGAAGAAGGTTTTTAAGTAGGGGCATTGCATGGACACATTTCCTCTTTAGAAAGATTGCTTTTGAATGGGTGTGGAGGAGATGTTGAGAGCTGGAATGGAGGGAGACAAACTTGGCCAAGGTGGTTTGTGCAGAAATCTCAGTTGGAGGGGATGATGCTTGAATAGAGGCCTGAATTAAACCAGAGGATTTGAGAGGAAGGCGGAGTGGTGGGGAGGGGTGAGTCAGGATATACTGAGAAGGTGGAATATGTGCAGCTTGGTGAATTGGGGCGGTTGGGGGGGAAGATGTGTTGGTAGTTGTTATTAAATGATGGTCCATTTTAGGGGCGCCTGGGTGGCGCAGTCGGTTAAGCGTCCGACTTCAGCCAGGTCACGATCTCACGGTCTGTGAGTTCGAGCCCCGCGTCGGGCTCTGGGCTGATGGCTCAGAGCCTGGAGCCTGTTTCCGATTCTGTGTCTCCCTCTCTCTCTGCCCCTCCCCCATTCATGCTCTGTCTCTCTCTGTCCCAAAAATAAATAATAAAACGTTGGAAAAAAAAAAAAAAAATTTAAAAAAAAAAAATAAATGATGGTCCATTTTACTCAGAGATTAGGAAATGCTTGCTTAAAACTAGAAGACTGTTTCTCAAATTGGGGTCACAATGTGTCCTTGGAGGTCTGATGCATGTTTCTTCTACCTCTGCCTCTCTTATTTTCTGATTAAATAAAAGAGCCTCTCCACTTATTTTATAAATCATTTCGTGGGTACTTGTGTCTAAGGGTTTCAGAAACCTAGAAATAGAACATCCCCTGCTAAAGGTCCACTCATCCCCAAATCTTCCACATGCCAGAGACTGTGTATTGTTTTACAAATTGAAAAGAACACAGTGCTTGCTCTCTAGGAGTTCAACCTCTGAAAACAAACCTAGAGAGAAAAAAACTGCTAAGAGAAAGATATTAGAAACGATACCCGCCTGAACTTATCTACAGCGGAGTTTGGTTTAAGTTGCTGCTCCAGAGTTACAGCCAGGTATTTGCAGTTTACATAGCTATCAGTACGCTTTATTCTTTGAAGATTCAAAGTAGAGTGTCGTAATTGAGAGCTGGAGTTCCAGGGGTCTGACTTCCTGGCTCTGCCACTTATCATATGTGTCACCTTGGCCAAATTACTTTATCTCTAGAACCCCCTTCATTACCTGTAAGATGCCCTATGATTACTGAAAGGGTTAAATGGCTAACGTATGTGTTGTGCATGGCACACCTCCTGACACAATGCAGTGTGCAATAAATACTCACCGATGATCATTCCCGAAGCCAGAGCGAAGCCTCTTCTAAGACTCAGTTGAGACCAGTGTGCTGTGTGAGTTCCAAGGATTGTTACTTTCCTTCTGCATTAAAGCTGTTGGGGCTAAACCTGAGATCCTTTGTAGTCACTTATGTTAATTGTAAAGAAAATCCTGGGACATGCTTTCTTCGGGAGAAGTTAACTCTTTGGATTTTTAAGTTACCTCTTTGATCCCATTATACATGATTGGTTTTTGCTTCAGGAAACTTCTAGAAACCAGTGTGAAGGCCTGGAGATTGAGACATCACTGCCTCTGTGAAACCTTGCCTTGATATGCATCACCTCCATCCTCATTGGAGTTCAACACACATTAATTGAGCACCGCTATTTTTCAATTCCTTATTAGGCTCCAGGGATGCAAGGATGAACTGATAATTCCCATCCTCGTGAAAATTAGTCTAATGGAAATATATGTAAATAAGGTCAGTCCACTGTATTACTAGCACAAATGGAAGTGTGTAGACGATCAAGAGGGGTACAAAGGGAAGATTAGTAAGGAGAGTTTCGCAGGTTTGGTGACATCTCAGTAGATTTTGAATGGAATGAGAAAAGGGAGAGTCCACAGATCAGCGTGGTTTGTATAGGTGATGGACCATATGGGGTGGTGGGGAGCGGAATGTGACGGGAGATGAAATTGAAGATGGGGGGTGGGAACTGGATCTTATAAAAGCTTAGCCTGTGGGTGTTGGGAGCTATTGAGTGATTTTAAGCAATGGAATGCTGTAGGATTTACATTTTTAGCAAGATCTTCCCAGTATAGCAGGTGAACTTGAGAAGGATGTTGGAGATGCTGGCACGTTCATGTCCCCACTACAGATTCATTGAGGCCAGTGACAGAGTCCTATTTACCTTTGTATCTCTAAAATCTAGTACTTTATAGACACTTCAGAAGTTGCTCAGAATAAAGACAGCCCAAGTTGAATTTTCCAATTCTGCATCCCATTCTCGCAACATGCTGACCTGGACCTCCATCTGTCATAAGCAGCTTGACTAAGATCATAATAAATTCTTTTTTCTTGGCATTCTTTTAACTGGCACTCTCTGTTTACTAGCCCCTCTGTGCAGCTATAGTGTGGAGATGATTGATGCTTATAATTCTGACCCTGAAGTACTTCAAGTCTTCTAAATCATCAAAAAAAGATTAAAGTATATTCAATATTGCTGTAATGTTTATGTGTTTTCCTGCATTCTTATTCTTTGGAAATTGATGGTTTCTCAAATGCCTGCATCCTCTTGCGCACACAGGCACAGTGGGAGTCTGTGATCACCCACAACCCCTCACTCCCTCGCAGGGCCAGGTACAGGGAGTTTGTTAGCAATGCACGTGCAGAAATGAGCAAGCAAAACAAAGCTGGGTTCTCTTCATGTCTAGAAGGAGGAAGCAGGTTGGCCCCCCGAGGGGCAGACCGGACAGAGATGAGAGAGAAAACAGTGGGAATAATAAAGCAAGAACTGGTACAGATTAGCAAGACAGGCAGTTTACAGCAAGCCCCCACTACGGTAGAGCCCAGGAGGAGCAGGGCTCCGGGCTGGGACACGAGCTTCTCATTCTTGTGTGCCTTGACCCAAATCATCAGGCTGGGATTTGGCAGTGTTCTCTGCCAGCTATATTTGTATTACAGTAACAACTGTTCAGTAAAATACCAAACATTAACAAGTGAAAACATCAATAATTAGAGAGCATCCTGTTCCCCGCCCCCCCCCCCACATCTCTTCATGAAAACCATTATTACTGCAGAGCTAACAATATTACTTGCCCCAGAATGAAGAAATCCAAATAGAAGTCCATTTTGTAACCTGGTTTCTGAAGAAAATGCATATAATGATGTTACTAGGAGGGAGATTCACTGTTTGAGTTCTCTTTAGGGGTGGTATATTGCAGTGGGTAGAGACGCCTCTTACCTTTCTGTTGTACAGATTTGTCTTCAAAATCTGTGTTTGATCAAGTTCTGCCTGTGCTGGAGTGCCCCACTCATTATTCCAGCCTGGAGAGCCGGTCCCTAAACCACAGGGATTCTGTTTGTCACTCACTAGGCAAGGGCTTGTGTGGACCTTAGAGCTGACTTTACCATTTGCCAACTCAGTGATTTGGGTGACTCTCTTAGGATCTCTGGGTCTTAGTTTTTTCTTTACTGAAATAAAATAATACAAATTCCTTCTTTACAGGGTTGCTGTGAAGCTGAAATAAAATGGTGGATGTGGAAAGCCCTATATAAATAAAAGTATACTAAATATACTAATGAACATCATAAATATTCTAATAAAGAGTAGAAGTATGTTTCATTAGCAAGTACAAAAATTTTTCATCTTCAAAAATTTTCCCGAAGCAGAGTGGGGAAATGAACTAACTAGATAGGGATTTCTTACTATGGAGTAGATGTTCTGTCTGTTACTTTATGCATTCTGCAAGATAGGTATTAAACCCTTATTTCAGAGATGAGGAAACTAAGTCTTCACACACTTATACATAGCAGAAGTGGGGTTTGGACCTGCTTACTCCAGAACTTAATGCTTTCACCTTATCTCTAGTTGCCGGTCTTATTCCTTACCCCACATCCCCACCCCCCCGAAGTTCTTTAAAAAGCTGTTCATGTCCTTTTGGGCTGGGAAGTTTGCTAGCCATTTCTTGGTCGTTCACTCCTGAAAGTGGGGTAGGGTGGGATCTAGAAGGAACCTGTGAGGTACGACAGCCCCTAGAAGGACAAGAGGCTCAGGAAGAGTCGGGGTGCAGGGCACACTCGGTCTGTACCTCTAGCGAGTCCGCCAGGCCTGGACCGAAACTGAGGAGGCAGGCATGCCCCATTTCCCAGCCCTTGAGGAAATGGCTGTGGCCGTTTTTCCAGAAGATTTTTCCCGGAGTTTCCAGAAGTTCGTTCTTCCTCTGGCGAAGTGTTTTCCAACCTCGCTGAGGTGGCTTGGTGAGCTGCTTCTTGGCTCCTCCTCTTAGGAATCAGTGCCTCTCCTGTATTCTGACCAATTCCTCGTTCTGTTTTAGGATTAAGTTTATTCCATGTAACCCTGCTGGGCTTTTCTGGGTCCCTCCCTGTTAACTTTGATGTGGCAGTTCCTGAAGTTCCCCGTGGAACCCACCATCGCATGCATTTTCTTTTTTATATAAAGTTTTCCCGGTTCCAGAGGATCAGAGCCTACTTGCGAACTGGAGCTGCCCACACAGAGAACCAGAGATAATGCCTGTTGAAGGGCCAGATTGAATATTCAGGGAGGATGTCAGTGTGTGGGAGAAGCATTTGTTCAGACTGGATCATAGAGATGCTGTGCATCGTGTCTCCATAGGTTCTCAACAGGAGATGCGTCGAAGCGGCGGTGATGACAGGCCTGGCACTGAACTGCCACATAAACAAGAAGTCCTTGTTTGACAGGAAGCACTACTTCTATGCAGACCTCCCTGTAAGTACGCTTGGCGGCCCGCCCTGTGTACGGCCTCAGAGCTGGGGGGCTTGACGCGAGGGAGGGGGGCCGCGCCTCTCATGTTTTCAGTCAGAGCTCTGTCCGTGTCAGCGGGAGGTTCTGCCTGGCCCTGATGAAGGCAGGTGCCCCCCGATGTTTACTAGATTGGATGCAGTTGTCCTGATTGCTGACTCCTTGCTTAGCCTCATGCTTCTGCCGGCTCCCTCGTAATTGAACGGGGATAGAAGCCAGCGTTCTCGGGCTCAGCCCAGCCGCGGTGTTTGGCGCTAATTGCCTGTTAGGTCAAATCTAACTCTGTGGCTGATGCAACAGTAAATGCATACTGTAGCTTTGCAGATGGAGTGATAGCTTCCCTCTTTGAAGTTGAAGTTACCAGTAATAGGACTGTCTCCTCCAGGGACATTTCTGTCATCTCACGAGGAGCACATAAGTGGACAATAGTAAGCGGAAACATGAACCAGAAGCCTCGACTAATGACAGTAATTGTGCAGTAAACCCAATATTAACCTGCTTTTTCCTTAAAATTATAGTTTCTTCTTTAGGAGAAGCCAGGGTGAAGTAGAGCCAGTTTTTCATAATGTTGAACTGAACCGAAACTGTAACGTTGAGTGGGTTTCCCAAAATAGTATTTCATTTGATCTGAGCCTCTGATTAGTAAGTATGCCCTTTCTTCAGATTTAGAAAAACGATAGCGAAGATATTGCTTCCCGTTATTCTCCTTGAACTGAAGATGAGGGTGAGCTGGTTGTTAGTGGGTGAGGGTGGAAGTGCGATTAAATACAAAATGCGACTGGAACCTTATTTCTCCAATTGCTTGCTTGCTGCTTTCCCCTCTGGCTGCCACCCGTTAGCAAATTCTATCGCTTGGTAGGATGAAGGGAATGAAACTGCATTTTTTTCCATCTTTTGAGAGTGCTAATCAGTTCGGTTAAGGTGGGAGACTTAGCATGCAACTAAAATGAGATGTTTTAATTATCTGTGGCTTTCTGTTCTTTCTGGCCCAGGTGGCTCAGATAACCAGAGTTAGTCTTGCCAAATTTTACATGGAACATACTTCTGTAAAACGTCTTTGTTGTTTATCTGAATAAACAGTTCATTCAAATCCAAATATGACTGAGCATCCTGTAATTTATTCAACAACCCTATTCAGAGTTTAATTTTTATACATTGTGACTTGCTATTTCAGCACAGAGTTGACCCAGTGCAGTGGTTCTCAAAGGGCGGTCCCCGTGCCACTAGGATCAGCATCTCCTGGGGACTTGGTAGAAATATAAATCTCAGGTGCTGCCCCAGAGCTGCAGAATGAGAAACTCTTCGGGTGGGGCCAGTCTGTTTTGACCAGCCTGCCAGAGGACTCCTGATGCAGAGGAAGTGTGAAAAATGCCAGCCTGGTGGCTAAGAGCAGAGTGTGGAGCCAGACCATCCGGTGTTCAAATCCTGACATGGATACTTACTAGCCCTGTGGCTTAGGACAACGCACTTAACTCCTTCCCTGCTCCGTATCTCCCTCATAGGGTTGTCGTGAGGATTAACTGGTATGAAGAACTCAGAACAGTGTCTGGGACCCCATAAGCACTGCGGGGGCTTCAGCTGCTACTCTCTGTTCTCCAGTTCTCCATATCAACCTCCTGTCTCTTTAATGTGTGCTGATGCATGTGTGCGTTTGGAAGTCCTTCCACCTCTACTTAGGAGGTGAGGGAATCCTTGCAACATCCATCAGTATTTTAGTACTACATGTTTTCTTAGCCGAGTGTGAGTGTCACAGCATTTTCTAGCGAGGGAAATGGGAAGTTGGGTCATGGAGGGCAGCTGGCATGATTGGTTCCCTTAAAGAGCAGGAACAAAACAAGCGTAAAGGCACTAGCAACTGCTGTCTCCCGCGCTGAGAGTAGATGGCAAAATGCTTAGCCAGCACTTCCTAATAAGGAGGGTCTGTCAAGAGCCCAGTAATCAGATGCAGGGTTTAGGCTAATGAGCTAAGTGGAAACAATAAATTCTTCTCTTAGAGGCCTCTGACAATGAGATTATTGTTATTCCCCAATTTGTAGGGAAGATGGGATTCGTGTTTATTGCATCATGATTGGGGGTTGGGGGAGGTTCAGGGAAGGTAAGGGAGGGGGGAAAGCCAGAAGAGGCCAGGTTAAATTACAGCTAAATTGCCTAAACTAATTTTCTTCTCCTTTTCCTTTTTTTTTCTGTTGTGTTTTTAAGTAAACCTCTAGTCTTAGTGACATAAAAAGAAATAGTGAACTGGACTCCCGCTCACATTTATGGCCTAATCACTGTGTAACTCATGTTGTGTGCAGGCAGGCTACCAAATTACTCAGCAGAGACTCCCGATTGCTGTGAATGGGAGCCTGGCATACAGTGTCTGTGTGGGGAAGAAATGGAGGCAGGTGATCACCAAGACCGTGAGGATCAAGCAGATCCAGCTGGAGCAAGACAGTGGCAAAAGCCTTCACGATGAGCTGCGGTCTCAGACACTCATCGATTTGAACAGGGCAGGTAGGCTTGGAGATTTTCTCTTGCCTTTCCTTCCAGCCAACCCTCTTCCCCCCTAGAGTTTTCCCAAATCAGTTGAGGAAATAGGCCCAAGAGTTTCACAGATCCAGATCAAATATCAGCATTGGTATTGGCACAACTGACTCGAGAACTCAGCCTGAACTGTGATTACCATTGGGCTTGCTAATAACCCACCAATAACTGTGATTATCGTCAGGCTTGCTAATAACCTATCCCTAAAATGTGATAAATGTAGCCACCTCGTCACCGACCCCACAGCTCGATCTCTCAAGCAGACACTGAAAGAACCAAAGTTAAAAATCAAAATTTGAAGGGGAGGAGAAACCATTCAAAGGCTAGAACCCGTGTTGAGAGTCCATCAGTGATGCAGGGTTTTCCTGAGACTTCAGCCTGATTTATCTGGAGAGCTGCGGTCAGGCTGACCCTGCCTCTCTTTGGTAGGAGTTGGCCTTCTGGAAGTGGTGCTGGAGCCGGACATGTCCTGTGGAGAAGAGGCAGCAACAGCCGTCAGAGAGCTGCAGCTGATACTTCAAGCACTGGGGACCAGCCAGGCAAATATGGCAGGTAGAAGCCACAGAGGAGCTGTCGGTCGTGTCCCTCCTTCTTGATCTTCTTTTTCCGCTTCCCAGGTGTCTTCTCACTGGAGTGTTTTCTGCGTCAGCTGCATTGCGGTTGTTTACGTGTTTTGTCAGCCTTTAGACCTCTGGGGTCTTTTTCCTTAGAGTTTTCCTTGGGTTCCTTAATGAGCCCCTAGTCAAAACTAAACACACCAACAGCAACGGCACCAAGGCACTGAGCCCAAGAATATGAGATTAGGAGTTGTTAAAAAAAAAAAAAAAAAATTCAGCTGAGTAAATTTGAAGATGAGACTGGCTTTATTTAAAGATTCATGAATCAGGCAGCGTCTCATCTAGCTAATAGGAGGTAGCTCCAAGGAGTTGTACAAAATGGAAGACTTTTATAGAGAGAAAGGAGTGATAAAGGAAGTTTTATAGCAGAGAGTGGATTGTTTCAGGTAAGGTCACCTTTCTTTGGGGGGCGGGGTCTGTCATGCAGATTACCTCTCTGGTGTTGATCAGGAACTTCCAGGTCAACTGGATAAAAGGTCACGGTCCTGGGAGAGGCTGAAACTGCACTTAAGTTTTGGTTTGCTATACTGGGAGTGAGACGTTCTTTCTTTCTTTCTTTCTCTCTTTCTTTCTTTCTTTCTTTCTTTCTTTCTTTCACAAAGGACTAGATGCGACTAGATGCTTTCTTCTGGCTTCTTCTATCCAAATGTTTTGCACCAAAATTAGGGTCAGTGAAATAGTGTGTTTGAACAGTTTTATCTTTCTCATAAGACATTATATTTTCCAGAATAGCTCTCAGTTTGTGAGTCTGTGCAGGTAGCACTTAGTTGCTACTTGATGATTTTTATTTGTGTCTTTCATTTTGTGGAATTTTCATCCAACTACAGCTGAAGCCCAATTACATCAAGTATAAGGCAAAGTTATGATTTCAAAATATTTGAACTTTGGGATAATATCAACTTCATTAGAAATGTAGTAGGAAATCAAACAAAAGAAACACCTGTGCCATTGGGACCAAGCAAAATGTATGTTTTAAGTGTTTGCAAATTGGATATAAAGATTACAAGTTTGGGGGGCACCTGGGTGGCTCAGTCAGTTAAGCGTCTGTCTCTTGATTTCAGCTCAGGTCATGATTGCAGGGTTGTGAGGTCCAGCCTAGCATCAGGCCCTGGGCTGGGCGTGGAACCTGCTTAAAATTCTCCCTCCACCTCTCCCCCTGCCCCTCCCCACCTCACTGTCTGTCTGTCTGTCTCTCTCTCTCAGAAAAAATAAAGATTACAAATTTTGGTCAAACTCAATTTCTTAATGGTTCCTCTCATGGCCCCTTCCTAGCACTCCTTTTTTTTTAACTTTATTTATTTATTTTGAAAGAGAGGGAGAGAGAGGATGCATGCAAGCTGGGGGAAGGCAGAGAGAAAAGGAGAGTGAATCCCAAGCAGACTTCGTGCTGTGCTGTCAGCATGGAGACTGATGTGGAGCTCAAACTCACACACTGTGAGATCATGACCTGAGCCGAAATCAAGAGTGGGATGCTGGATCAGCTGAACCACCCAGGTGCTCCTCCTGCCCTTAAGTCACCAAAAGCTAGCCTCGCCCATGATTGCCCTCTATTTTCTGTTCCCAGGGGCTTTAAACAAAACTCTTGCCACTCAGCATTCCTTGAGTAGAGAAAGGCAGGAGTGGAGAAAAGATACAGATTCTGCATATACAGTTGTTAATTCATAGTTCAGTAGTGTATTAGAGTACTCCAGTGAGACAGAACCAATAGGATGTGTGTATATGTGCACGTGAATGTCATATGTATGTATGTTTATATATGAAGAGATTTATTCTAAGGAACTGGCTGATGTGATTATGGAGGCCAGCAGTCCCATGATCTGTAGTCAGCAGGCTGCAGGAGGGCTGGTAGTATAGTTCCAGACCAAGTCTGAAGGCCCGAGAACCAGGAGAGCCGGTGGTGGAAGTTCCAGTGTGAGGCTGAATCCGAAGGCTGGAGGAGACCAGTACCCCAGCTCCACGACAGGCAGGCAGAGAGAGCAAGTTGCCCCCTCCTCTACCTTTTGTTCTCCTCAGGCCTCCAGCAGATTGAATGAGGCCTACCCACAATGGCAAAGGCAGTCTGCTTTATTCAGTCTACCAATTCAAATGTTCTCTCCTCCAGAAGCAGCCCACAGACACACCCAGAATACCGTTTAACCAAATACCTGGGCACTTTGTGACTCTGTCAAGTTGACCCATAAAATATACCATCAGAAAGTGGTCACAGTGGATGCCAGTAAATACCATTTGAGGATGATGATTCATCTCCTTGTTGGTTTATAATACTATTTACCAACCTTTTGATGTCCCACATTATATTTGCGTGTTACAAAAGGACTTCTGAAATTGTAACGCCACATTTGTCACAGAGAACATGTTACAAGCAACAAACTGTAACATTGGAGCCCCATACAAGTTGAATTTGAAGACAGAACTTGCCTATTTAGTATCTACTTTAAGCTAAACACTGGAAAAACACAGCTACATGAGTCTGCCTACAATTTGGCTTTATAGAAGCGAGGCTCTGTTGTAGGGTAAGAGAACTCTCCATTTCAGATTTATGGTTCACGCTGCTTTTTTACCCACAGAACATAAATGAAATATGGGCAGGTTGGATGGTTATCCATTTATGCACTAAGTGTTGATTCTCTATCACTTAAAAAAATTTTATTATTCCATTCTTCCTCAAAATAACTGTGATTCCTAGCAAACCTATGGAATAATAAACGGACCACCTGTTAGCTGAGAAATAGTCCCATCTGGGTCCTTGCCAAGAGATAAACCATAACGGCAAGAACTCATCAGTCGGTGACAGCTGAGAGGGTTCATTAAATCTCATTTGTTGTGACACTGTTTGTTGCTTTTAAATACAAATCCAGCAGCTTTGCCCCTAGCACAGCAGCAGAGCGGCTGCGGCTGTTCTGAGTGATATGGGGAGGGAAGGTCCGCATAGAGTCTGCAGGGGTCGAGCTTTTTGTGCTGTTAGTATTTTATCAGCCCCAACCCCTTTGATCCTTCTTCTGCCCCACCACCGTAGGACCACTATGCTGGCATTGGAGACTGCAGTCTGAGAACTGAGGACCACCCTAGAAGGGACCAGTGGACCCCCAGGGTGTTTTTGGAATGAAGCTTCAGTTGCTCTGGACTGTGATTCAGTGAGTTCCTGATAGTTTTGCTAATGAGCATGGGTCAGCTCAGCCTGGGTTCCTGAAGTCATTTCCTTCTCAGTGGACGTTTGCCACTGTTGAGATCCTCAAAGCCATCTGTAGAGTTGAGTGTGCACTGAAGTAGACATTTGACATGGTTTCGGTGATAACGTCTGCCATTTTGAACGGCTAGCCTGTGCTCATCAGCTCACCAAGCATTTTTAAAAATTACCATCTCGTTTAAACTTTACGGCCTTCCTGAGAGATAGGTGCTGTCACGCCTGTTGTATAGGTGAAGAGGCTGAGGTTTAGAGAGGTCGTGTTATTTGCCCAAGGCTCACAAGAAGTGACTGAGCTGGGATTTGAGTCCAGGTGTGTCTGAGCCCAGGAGCCCTTCCTCTAAACCCCGCATCACACTGCTTCCTAGAGGCAGCCACAACGGTGTCACAGCCATAGATGACACCTTAGAGAGGCAGGATGGCAGAGCATGGGTGCTGAGGATGCTAAGGTCCCAGCCCTGGGTTGGGGCCCTGTCCTGCCTCTGGTGGCCGAAAGAACCTGGGCAAGGGGTTTTGATTTCTCTGAGCCTCACTTTCCACATTTATGAAGCGAGTCCCCAGATACTTGTGTATGGAAAGGGAAAGGTCATCACATAGGGCTGGGCAGCTGGGTGTGGTGTCACTGTGCACTGAGACATGGAAGACGGGGAGAAAATCTGGAATTCCATCTTGGGTATGTGAAGTTTGAGATGCCCAAAGGGTGTCTAAGCGGCTTCATCTAAAGCTGCATCGTAGGAAATGAATGTGATAAAGTGTATAAAACTTCTCACAAGCGCTGACAAGTAGCATGTGCTCGGTAAACGTTAGGTGCTTTTATTAATGATAGTAAGTACTGTTGCTTTTACAGAACCACCACTCACTTTGGGTACATAAGCTTTGCGAAATATGTTCAATAAAATTTGGTCAGTGTGTGTGTGTGTGTGTGTGTGTGTGTGTGTGTGTGTGTCAGAACTTGTTATTTAAGTCCTGGAGAGCATCCAGTGATCCGAATGAGATAGCTTAACAGACCTCTCTAAATCCTCAGGCCCCTGCTGTTTACAGAAACAGTTTTCTGTCCTGATGGTATATTTCTGATGTGTGAATGTGTTCTTAGAAAAAAAATATGTAACTGCACCATATCACTGCGCTCAGTGGTATCGTTTTTTAGTTTTGCTGTTACAAATCTCTGCTTCTGGAGGGCAGAAATCGAGCTTGATAATGCTCTCATGATGTGTGAATGAAGGCCCCTCACTCAGTGCTGCAGAATGCATTGAGGTAAACCTGACTGGTAAGGCTTTTGTGCACTGGAGGCAATTTAACTTAATTTGTTTAAAAGGTATTTTGTCTTCACTGGATAGAATGTCTTTTGTTAATGCTTGATACTATATTTGAATCCAGGCTAGTGGACTCTCTTTCAACACTGCAGGATACTAAATGATTCCTCTCAGACATTTATGTAGCATGGCCTTCGCCGGGAGAGACTGAAATTCATGCTCTTGTTCCTTATCCAAGTTAAAATTCTAAATTGCAAAAGATGGTGCCATTTTTAAAAGCGGGTGAAGTCCCACTCAGGGTTCCCTGAGTTCAAAAAAAAAAAGTTGTTTCCCAAGAAGTGAGATTTGGTTGAGCACAGCTCAGCATACTTTAGAAGTTTTCCTCTGAGCTGAATAGGCCTTTCAGATGATTCCAGCTGTAGATCAGTCCTATTCAGACAGAAGTTGAGAACTTATCAGGAGCCTCTTGTGAGACAGTAACCAGTCTGCTTACTCATTGCTCAGGAAAATACCAGAGTTCTGGCTTCTCCAACAAGGTATTAATTTTATTGAATAGTTACCTTCTGCCAGATCCAGCTCTAGATTCTGAATATGGCAGTGAAAAAGACAATGGCATCAAATAAGACTGAAAAGAGTTGACAAGGGATAGATTACCAATAATGAGAAGAAATTTGGATTTCATCCCAAATGCAGTGGGAAGTCATTGAAGGGCTTTTAAGTAAGGGAATGACAGAGTCTGAAGAACGTTGTAGAAAACCACTCTGGCTGCTGTGTTGAAAGTGGATTTCAGATGAGTAGGAGTAGAAGCAAAGAGACCAGGAAAGAAGCTCTTATAGTAGACCAGATGAAAGAGGATGCTGTTTTGGACAGGGTGGCATCAGGAAAGATGGAGAGATCAAGCTGAGTAGACTCAAGGTGGATTTTAGAAATCATGGGATTTGTTAACAGGCTGGTGTGGAAATCAAGGGGCAGGAAGAAATCAAGGATGTCTTCAAAGAAGCTTGAGGAGCTAGGTGGTGCTGTTGGCTGAAACTGGGAAGATGAAGATGAGCATATTTGTGGAGGGGAAATCGGGATTTAGTTCTGGAAAGTGAAATGTCTGTGAGATCTCCAAGTGGAAGTGTCAGGTGGAGGTAAGGGTGGGGCTCAGAGTAGAGGTCTGGGCAGAAGAGAGAAATTTAGGACTTAGCAGCACATTGGTGGTATTTATAACTATATACCCCTCCAGAGAGAGTGCAAGAAGAGGGTCCTGAATTAGATGGGGAAGAAAATACCAGCAGACGAAATGCAAGTAGAGTGTCCAGAGAGGTGGGAGGGAAGCCAAGAGCATATAAGGTCACGGCAGCTGAGAGAGGAAGGTAGTTGAAGAAGGAAGGATTAGTCGGTATGTTGCATGCTTCTGGAGTGTCCAGCAAGGGGAGACAGAACAGGTCCTGTGTCCACTGCATTTGGCAGCCAGGAGATTGCTGGTGACTTTAGCGAGGAATTTTCAGAGAGGCGGGGACAGAAGCGAGACTGAAGAAGGTTTAGGAGTGAACGGGAGGTGAGATGGTAGAGACAAGATGTGCAACAAGCAAGCAAAACCTGTGGGAGAGGATTTGCTGGAAAGGAAAGCAGAGAGGCAGCTTAGTAACTGATGGAAAGCAAATGGGGTTCAAGGGACTAGGGTTTGTGCTTTGTTTGGTTTGTTTTTGTTTTCCAGGAGCAAGACTTTCTGCGTGTGTCTCTATTAGAAGTACTGCCGAGAAAGCAAGGGGGTTGACTGATGTGGGAGAGAGGAGGTAGCTGAAAGAATGATGTTCTTCGGAAGGAGGGTGGGTGAGGATTTGAAATCCAGGGACAGTCCTAAAGAGACTTCCATTTCGGTCCTAAGGATAAGATTAATTCAAAATAGACTGTAGTCATGTGCTAAGTTCTATGGTATTGACCGTGTATATTCTAATCATTCAGAGGAGCCACCAGCGGAGGCAAGCTTATTGATGAGAGCTTCTAGGAGGAGAAGTGGTAACACTTAAGTGGGATCTTGGGGGATGAGCAGAGGCTGAAGAAGGGACAGTAATAGTGATAAAGAGGACGTGCAGGAGCCAGTGGAGTGGGCAGGGGCTCCTATGCAGAAAGCTTCCCTGACTGGAGGAAAGCGTTCTCGTGGTCTGAGTAGCAGAGAGAATGTGGGTCGCGTCAGCCAAGACTGGATGACGGCTCTTCAGTACCAAGCAGAGGAGACAAGATGGTCCAGCAGGAGCTGGCCCTGCACATGAGCAAGCAGAGAAAATGATGAAAGCCACATCATAGCAGGATGAAAGTCATAGCCACATTGTGGGTGACTGGACAAGGAGGGGTTGCTGAACTACAAGTCAGGATGTGATTCTGAAACCCGGTCTGAAGTTCCGAGCCCTCCAGCGAGGGTGGCCGCAGTGGAAAGAGAGAGGAAGTGACAGATGTGAGGGGGGTTGGGAGAGAAGAACTGACAGGATCTAGTTGTCAGTTTGGACGTAACAGGAAAAGAAAACAGAGGCAGTGTAGATGACTTCAGGTTTCCTAGACCACGAGTCTAACGTCAGGAATAGTTGGGACTTCTTGACGTTCAAGGAGGCACAAATTGTCCAAAATGTTGAGAAGTCTGTGCTAGAGATGTAGATTAATTTCTGAGCTGAAAGCACCTTTTTCCCTGACGGTCAGCGTGGGTGGCACTTGGGGTCGCAGAGTGGGGGAGCTCATCCTTTGTTCTGGGGGAACAAGTGGAGAGAGTAGGGCAGGCAGTGGGTGGCCGGTGGTCTCAACCTTGCAGGAGGTTGAGCCCCACATCAGCATTTGGGGGAGCAACAGAGACTAAGACCATGGAATTTCTTGGCATGGAATTTATGTATCCTGTTTCATTATTTTAATATGCTTTTGCTGCGGAGTCTTGGAAAATGAATCTCCTGATTCAGCCCATCACAGCCCTCAGGTTTGGCACGTCCTTTTTAAATTTAAGAACCAGGGGCGCCTGGGTGGCGCAGTCGGTTAAGCGTCCGACTTCAGCCAGGTCACGATCTCGCGGTCCCTGAGTTCGAGCCCCGCGTCAGGCTCTGGGCTGATGGCTCAGAGTCTGGAGCCTGTTTCCGATGCTGTGTCTCCCTCTCTCTCTGCCCCTCCCCCGTTCATGCTCTGTTTCTCTCTGTCCCAAAAATAAATAAAAAACGTTGAAAAAAAAATTTTTTTTAAAAAAATAAAAAATAAATAAATTTAAGAACCTGCCTAGGAAAACAAAAATCCAGCATTTTGCCCTCACGTTCTGTTCAGTTTTGAATATTGTAAATGAAACTGGAGAATAGAGAATCTGAGTTTTACTTCATAGGGTATAAAATGTGATTGTTTTTTATCTTCATCTACCTATTTGTCTTAGGATTTTGTCTCTGTCTCCTCCTCAAGGGCCTCTTAGTCCTCTCCACAAACCACCTGCTTCCTTAGGGGTTATTGCTCCTTATCTGAAGGGGCTTTCTGGGTCAGAGAAGGGCCTTCCAGGAGGGAGGTAGTCCCCTCTGAGTTCCTCCACAGACTCACCCCTTCATAACAGCACTGTCTGCTGCAGCAAATCCTTACAGCAATCAGGAAGGGTTCAGAGTCCTGTTTGTGGAAAGAAGAGATGATTGCAGGACCCAGAGGAAGGAGGAGGGGAAAAGCCCAGGTTTCTGGTATTTGCCCTTCAGCTGTAAAATCTCAAGGACTCCCTTATGGATCTCCTGGAATCACTGTTGGAAATCCACCTTCCATTGGAGAGCTGTGCAGGGTTATCAGATGATCATTTCTAATGCCTTCCTGCCAGCTCAGCTCTCACACTTTGGATAAAAACTCAGGATAAAACTACAGAGTAATTTTCCATTTTGACAGTGTTGTTTTTCTTATTTGGCAAAAAATTAGATTTCTGCATCTGGTACCTCCAGAATTTCTCCTGTCTTCTGCACGTGCACAGGGGCGTACAGATATGCACGCACACATAAGCTCACACCTCAGATGCCTTAGGACTGTAATTCTCGTAAGTGGGCAGAAGAGCTTCGGGACCAACCATACCTTCTCTAAACTTGGGTTGCCATAACTGACTAAACAGCAAGTGGAGTTAAATATTACTTGCCGGGAGACTTCAAAAGACCACGTTGCCTCAAAGAATTTCTAAAGAGTTGTCTTTTTTCTTTCCTTCCAGAGGGCCAGTTAAGAGTGGATGCCAACATATCTGTGCATCATCCTGGGGAGCCTTTGGGCGTTCGAACTGAAGTGAAGAATCTCAACAGTGCCAGGTTCCTGGCCAGAGCAATAGGTGAACGTCAGCTATTACTTTTAATCTTCCTTTTGTATCCATTATCTATTGCTTTGTAACAAGCCACCCCAAACCTTGGTGGCTTATACAGTCACCATTTCAGTTTTCACAATTCTACTGATTAGATCCTGCCTCAGCTCATTCATGAGGCTGTGGAAGCTGGCACCTCGGCTGAAACAGAGGGTCTAAGGCGACGCCACTCACATATCAACACCTTGGTGCTAGAGGTCTGCTAGGCTTCTCTTTCCTTGTGGTCCTTCTTCATTCGCTTGCCTAGCCTGGACTTTCTTGTTTGGCAATGGGCATTCTAAGGGAATGAAGGCAGAGGCCTCAAGGCTTCTTGAGTCCTAAGCTCTAGAACTCCTATAGTGTCTCTCTCTTCCAGCACATTTGATTCAAAGCAGATTCAAAGGGAGGATCCTTTTTATGGGAGGGTCTGCAAAATACCGTAACTCTGTTTTTCTGTTTACCACATTCTTTCTGACCTGCATGAACTTTACAAAGTCATGTTTATTCATTATACATTGGCCATAATTTGACCTCACTGGTCAATATATTTTTCTGCTTCTTACTATTTTTACTAATAGATTGCATGTGCCTATATAGTCAAGTTTTGGTCTTATTGGAGCTCATACAGTCCCATGACATTGCTGACTGTGAAGACATCTCAGAGGCCTAAAATATTCTTTAAAACCAAAAGTATCTGTAGAGGAAGAGAGAATGTAGGGAGGGATTGAGTTTAAAGTGCATTCCTTCAAGGATGCACAGAGCACAAGCTATCTGGATATATTGCTGTGTGTTGAGTAGAGTCTTGGGTCTTGTTGAGAAAAGCATTGGAAACAATAGAGCAGAGATTCTCTAGTCTTGTGTGAAACCTTATCCTGAACCTGAAATGATCAGCCTCAACAAAGATACTGTGAGTACAAATTTTCAGAAAAAACGGCATCCTAATGGTCAAGGGGGATAACTTACTCAAGGGAAAGGGGTAAGGGAAGGTTCCCACATGAAGATAGACCAAAGAGGTGGGACTCTTCTGTCTCTAAAAGGAGATACAGTCCATGTTTATGAAGCCATGAAAGGTTTGGGTCAGGGAAACCCTTACAGCGCAGTGTTATGAAGGGGAAGCTTGGCAAAAATAGAAGAAAGCTCTGCCTCACCCTGTGAATAGTAAGTGTTCTGGAACTCATTACTCTAGGAGGTGGTGATGCAACCTAAAAAAACAAGCAGCAAGATTTTAGGTAGGCTTATCCATAATGATTTACAAAGGAGCTCCCGAGACAGAATTCTGCCTGTGTTCTCACTTGGACCGGAAGAACCTCAGATTTACTATGATGGGCTTAATTCTCCAAGCCCATGATTTTTCCACCCCACGTTTCTCCCTACATCATGCCTAGTAGCTATCGTCTCAGTGGGGGAGATGGGGAGCAGAAACTGACACATTTTGGTGTTGCTGCTGCTTGTCAGCTCAGGTAAAAAAGTTTGGATTCGGGTGCGGGAAAGTGGTATTTGATGGTGTGGGGAGTAAAGGGGAAGCTTAAGCTGCTTTCAGAAAGAAGCTTAAGAGTTGTGGCTGTTTCTTGCTTACCACAGTCTGCCTGGTTTGGTGGTGAGGGAGCATGGCATAGAGCAGTGGCTCTTAATCGTGTGGGGTCATAGATCCCTATGAAAATTTTGGACTCTGTCTCCAAAAAATGTACAAATGCACACACCCACATTTTGTGTATAATTTCAGGAGGTACCAGAACCTCTTGAAGTCTGTCCATGGATCCCTGGATAAGAACTCTTGATTGGCAGCGGTCCCTGATCTGGAGTTAGTTGGCCTAGATATTGGTCCTAACCCTTCTTCTACCAAGAGCTGTAAACTGGACTGGGTCACCATGAACCTGAGTTTTCTCAGAAAGTGAGGAAGCAGAACTTCCTAAAAGGCCCTTTCCGGCACCATTATCCTATGATTGCAATGCAAAAATATAGCCTATCAGGGAAGAATTATTATGAACAACTCTCTTGATTATTTTTGACTTGAAGATTGAAAAAGATTTCTAATTATTGCTTGATTGGATTAAAGGAATCAAAATATGATACTAAATTACTATGTTTTTCTTAGACTATGAAATTCAGAGACAAATCAACGAACTTGAGAATGGATGTGAAATTCTGAATGAAACTCGCTCATTTGACTACAAGCTAGGGTGAGTTTGCTTTGACAAGCATCTTGAACACAGTTGGGTGGGGCTCCAATCCAGGCTCACCACAGGCAAGCCCTGTGACCTTGAAGAAGGTACTTAGCTTCTCTGCATGAATGCTTTTCTCACTAGTGCAATTGGGAGAATACTGTATGCTACAAGGATAGAATATCCTGTAGGGCTGGCAAGAGGTTGAAATTGAACCAGACTTGTACATAAGTACTTATTATGTTCTGGCCTTTCATTTGCTTCTAGTTTACCCACTTTATGGCAAGAATTTCTACTTCCTTAAATTCTATCAGACTTAAGCTCTACCAGTTCAAGCTAGAGGTAAAGAGAGCTTAGGGTTGGTTACAGAGGTGTCCTTTGTTTTGTTTTGCTTTGTTTTGATAACTTTGACTCTGATATTCTGACTCCGAATTTTGAGGATTTTGTGCTTTTAGCAAGAGACCGAAAAAAGCTCAGAAGACGAGAGTTTGAGCTGGTTAGAAGCCGGAAACATTGAAGCAATTTCTTCTCTCTTTTTTTAGTTAATCTAAATATTTCTCTTCCATTAATATAATTTTTTCATGGAGTCACGTAAGTGTCTGCCAAAGAAGGTGAAAGAGCTTGAATTTGCCCGTGGCTCTTATTGATAGGGGTAACCCATTTCCCTTTGCACATATGTTAGGTGGTGCTGCGCGCAATGTTTGTGTAACGTTTTCTTATTTAACCGTCATAGGTGCACCGTACCGATGAGAGACAAAGAAGGAAAACAAGACTACAGGTGGTTACTCCTCTTGTCAAAGTACCATTACATGTTTGGGGTCAGGGGCGTATTTCAAATCCACTCGCAGAGTACCATAATGATCCTGGATAGTTTTTAAGAACCACTTTGTGTTTGTATTGTTGCATGATGGAAAATCTGGACTTCCTATTTTATGTGTATACTGAGAGAAAGAATGTTTTCTTCTTTTGGTAGCCTCAGAGTGCCTGATTTGACGAAATTCAACTGTTGGAAGACACTGTTGACTCACCTCTGTGTGAGAGTTGTTGAGCTAAGAGGGTGGCAGTTGAGGATGGGGCCTAGGATGTTCTTATATTCAGTGATAGATAAAGTAACACACTGAAGATCCTTGAGAAGATATGGGGAAAAAAAGAGATGCATATGTCAGTGGCATTTCCCTTCGTATCTCAGGTGATGCTATTTAATTGATAAACTAAACAACTTGTACTTAATATGAGATCCAGAAATAAGGACAGGCTTAAGGTAAATTGAACCTTTTGTTTTTTTCCCCACTGAGTTTAGCAGATTTGAAAGATTGAGGTTTTAAGCGACAAAGTTGTTGAGGTTAGCCCACTGTTCCTCCACAAAATGCAGGAAGTGCAGCTCTTGCTGTGGATGACAAGCATCTTGAACAGAAGTAGCACTGTGATGTGGGAAAGAAACTCCTAAACCCTTAGAGTGAACCTCCCCTGAAGGGCTCCTCTCCTGTCTGTCGAAGTCAAGATTGTTTGAATCACTGTGATCTCAGTTCAACCTGTTCTTCCCAAGAGCTTCTTTGTTCTCCAGTGTTGCCGCCCTACTCTGTTTGTGCTGCTTTCTTAATCAGCGTGGAGTTTGGCTTTTAGGTCAGCTAGTGGCTTTGGCCCAATCCCTCAGGTTAATAGGCGGGATTCAGGAAGCCTCCCTTTGGCTTTCCTCTTGCCATCAGAAGTCAGGCTGATTCACAGCACAGATTTGGCATTGAGGTGATGGGTTGTTTGCACGTCTGATCTATCACCATGGCGCCACCATTTGCTCTGCATTATCCTGCTTCTACGTAAGCCCTTTGACAAGTATAAGCAGAGAGAAAATGTTGGATGCTGGAATACAACAGAGGGAAAGACATTATATGCAATGGTGCAGCAGAGAGGTCCCGTATGCTCCTTGGCATGTACCGTGTGCTCCACGTCACCCCCCACAGTTTCCCCTGACAGCATCTTGCGTTGCTGTGTGATTTGCATCTATTCCCCAGGAAATGTTGAGCACTCACTAAACACACTGGTACAGTACATTTGCTATAATTGATGAACTGATACTGAGATTTTATTATTAACTAAAGTCTATAGTTTACATTAGGGTTCACTCTTTACGTTGCATGTTCTGTGGGTTTTGAGCAAATGTATAATGACGTACATCTACTGTTACAGTGTCCTAGAGGATAGTTTCACTGTCCTGAAAATCCCCTGTGCCCCGCTTACTCGTCCCTCCCTCCCCAATAGCTTCTACATTTTATTTAGGCAAAATCTTACTGATTTCTTCCACATCTCAAGGTTTTCTTTTTCTTTGACTTTTCATTTATTTCACAGATACTGCTAAAAATAGTGAGAATTTTTAAATGAGGGAAAGTCTTTTTTTCTGCCTAATAAGTAGATTGTTCTCATTTGGTCCTATTTTTCGCAACCTATGTCTTTATGAATATGTACTTTATCCACAATTAGAAATCACAGTGTGGCATCAACCCTGCGTGGTGCCTTTTTTGCTCATCATTCATTTATAAGCATGGACGCCGGCAGATCTGGTGGTCTTGACCTGTAGAATACACTTGTCCAAAGACTCCTTCCTGGGAAACAGGGAGAATTGATATTATGGGACATTCGAAGACATTGGCAATTTTAACACGGCAGCTAAACATGAAACTTTTGACGATAGGAGTTTTTTCCCGTTAAACGAAACACTTCCGAGTCAGACCCCATTTCCTCTCTGTGCCTAGGTTTATGCCCGAACCCAACCTTCCTCCCCTGCTGCTCTATGACACTGCATCTCTGCCTGCTGGTGCAGACCCACAGCAAGTGATCAACATTGACCGGATTCGGGAGCAGCTCCCTGAGCTCCCCAGTGAGACCCGAGAGAAGCTCATTCAACAGTATGGGATACTGCCAGAACACAGCTTCGCCTTACTGGTAGGTATTGATCAGAGGCTAAAATAAACCCAGCTCAGCAGTTTAGGGTAATGCTCTACACTGTGGGCTCTGAGTGGAGCAGGCAGGTTGCTTCAGTTGTACAATAGATGCTTCTGAGAAGAACAAGGTGCGATAACCTTTGCTCACCACCCTTTACGGTAAATACTCCTCAAAAAACCAGAAGATGAAGCAGAATCTCGCGTCAGTCATTTCTTCTGTGTAGAAATGAACAGCTGCTCACAGCAGCCGTGGAGGCTTCTTGAAGACAGTCCAAATGTTATGGATGAATGTTTTCCCATGTGTCCGCAGGACAAAAGAAAATCAATGTATAGGGTTTCTAGATGTCTAGCAGTATTGAACCATGACAGGGTCTGGCAGGAAGTTCGGTTCTCAAAAGCCAGCCAGCTGTTTCTCCAATTGTAGAAGAAAAACGTTTATTCCACACGAAACGTTGAAAACTCCGACTAAAAGTATCGGCCCTTTGAGGCTTGAAGATGCATCTTAAGGGGCTGTTAGAGAATCTGACACCACTGAGACCTGCTTAGGGATTTTCCATTCTTTTCAGAGCTGCCCGGGGCTTTGCTGTTTTCTTTGTCATGGCAACATTAAAGTGATACAGGCTCAGTGAGGGTAGGGTTTTGTCACAGTTGTCTCCTGCGTGCCTGTTAGGAAGTAGGAAGTTTTGCTGCTGCACGGTTCAGGCACTGGGGATATGCCACACTTTAGCTTTTGGAGCAGCGGAGTCTGCACAGACTCTGGATTTTTGGATTTTAATTAACCAATAATAACTACATAGGGATGCTGGAATGCACATATTTATATACTTCAGTAACAGCAGCCCTGCCGTTTCTGGTACAGGGTTGGCAAGTGGATATTTGTTGAGTGAACGGCTCTCTCTTTATAAATCAGCTAATAGGAAAACTTCCTGGAGAATCTCACGTGAAAACTCCTCTTTTCCTCCCGGTAATGATTAGGCATGCGCAGATTTTTTTCATACTCCAGGCAGAGGTGACCACTGCCTGCTGTGGGCTGACATTGTGTCTTAGCCATAACTCTGTGATGGTTGCGGTGCTAGATTTTAATTATTTCATAGTGTGACTTGTTCGGTGCCTTGCAGGCAAAGGCTGTGTCACCCTCTCATTCGCTGTTCCTCAGCACAGATTAGCGCATCAGCAGTGCTTAATGCCAGATCTTTGTGTGAATCAGTTAGCATCTTGGACAGAACAACTTTTAATCTGAAACCTCTTACAACTCAAGTATTTTTCCCTAGGTTGACATAACCAAACTGAGTTTTAGTCCTGTCCATCTTCCCCAACATCTGATCACTTGAATTTCCAGCCCACCGGACTAAATACGAAATGCCACGTTCTGGTTCTGCATTTTACAACTGCCAGATTACACAGGGGGCAGGAAGACTGGGACGGAGCCCACTGGGTCTTAGCCTCAAAGACATCTGTTACCTCTCTTTATTTGGCCTTCCGCCAGGTGAACACAGGCAGCCCTTGGAGGTAGCAAATGAAGAACCTAGGTTTCGTGGCCATTTAAAAAAGAATTTTTTTAACTTTTATTCATTTTTGAGAGACAGAGATGGCACAAACAGGGGAGGGGCAGAGAATGAGGTAGACACAGAATCCAAAGCAGGCTCCATCCAGGCTCTGGGCTCGAACCCACGAACCATGAGATCATGACCTGAATTGAAGTCAGATGCTTAATCACCTGAACCTCCCAGGCTTCTCTTGGCCATTTCTTTGCTCACAACTGCGATTTTAGAGAAGAATCCACTAAATATAATGTTAAAAGTTATTTTTGTATATCAACTTCCTTTATAAGAGAGGTGAAAAGATCTCTCGGAAACTCCTCTCAAGATTATGGCTATTTCTCTCCAAGGCACGGACTGCAAATATACACTCCCTTTGAAGAGCATCTCTCTAGCATTGTCACACTTGGCCTCCGACAAGCATGTGATGGTGGGGAGCGTCTGCCGTCCCTTACTGAAAGAAGTCCTCTGAGGGCAGGGAGGTTTTCTTGTTCATGTTTCTGACCCAGGCTCCACTCGTGTGTCCTTCACAGGAAGCCTTGAATAAAGGCTGAGGGATGCCTGGTGAGTGGGTGTATGTTTTCATAGTTTAAGGTCCTGTTTAGGGGAACCCACCTTTCATCTCTTCAGTCCACCACTTTTATTTTCTGTTGCATCTCCTATGTAGTGGGTACTCAGAGGCAGAGATTAAAAAAAAAAAGTGTTTCTTTGCTTTCCAAGAGTTTATATGTATACACACACACATGACACAGCTAAGCAGCTAACCAATAGATGCATAATGCAGGATGGGAGCCCGGGGAGGCAGTGATTACCTTGATCAGAACAAAAGGGAAAAACTTCAAGAAGGAGGTGATTTTTGAGCCAGTTTTGACGGGACTGGTCTTTTAATAGCTTAAAAATATGCTTATTTGTATAGCTTGCAGCTAATGTATTAGGTGATTCATTGTTTTTTAAAGGGCCAGCCCTTGAAATTCCCAAGATGAGCGCAAAGAGAACTTAAAAGCAATGGAAAGAGAATGAGTCAGACAAATTGTTTTCCTGAAAGTAGGCATCCTGAGCTCTTTATGACTTTGTAATCATTGAAAGCTGAGTTACTCAGACCCGAAAATGATATGTTCATGTTTTTTCCTGCCTTCATCAGAAACACAACAGATTGCTGAGAAGGGCGGATGCACAAATCTAATGAACCATCTTTCAATTTAAAGAGTGCCCAGGAGTATTCATTAAATAAATAGCAGTAGTGGAGGTGTGCTTTGCTGAGCTTCGATTCCATGCTTTGTGCCTTCAGATTGCTTATTAAGTTAAGCATTTAAGCACATACCCACCCTCACACACATGCCTTACAAATAACAGAGACTTCAGAATTTAACTCTGATCTTTATCTTATTTTATTGTCTGGTAAGGACTGAATTATGTATTGATAATTTAGGCTTGATATTTACAGAACCCTAATATTATATTTTAGCATCTCCCACCATGTCTGGCACGTAGTAGGCACTCAGTGAATATTTATTCAGTGAATGGACAAACAAGTAAGCACGTGGGATACCATTACAATACTCATGGAAGCCCTGGAAGAAGCAGCATTCCTGACAAAAGCATCTCTGTTTCTAAAGATCAGATACATAAGCCAGTCTTGACAACCTAGCAAATCATGGAACGATACCTGACTCCTTGAACTCGGGGTGAGAACACCTGGATCACCACTCTAACCACCCCAGATCCTGTGTTCCGATGCAAATCACTTGGTGTCTCTGACTCTTGTTTTCTAAACTGGTTTTGTCAGGACATTAAGTCCAGTCTATATTCTGGTTTTCTCTCATGAACCTTCCTGACAGTCACCTCCGAACAGAAAATCTGTATTACTGTTTTTTCCTCTGGCCACATAAAAAGTATCTTGCCCGACGTGAAACTTTGACCTATTTAGTTAACCTTGCTTCCCTTTCATAAGTCAGATTGTTCGATTGTTGACCTCCTTTGTAAGGATTAAGGAATAGAAATGTAGAAGCTGAGATCCAGGTATTAGGATTCTGAAAAATACGAGGTTCTAATAGTGTAACACGTCCTTCTCTGAGTCAGCATATTCCAGGAGTAATTATTAGAATGATCTAGATTATATGCATGTGCCGATAATCCCAAAATGATGTCTGTGGGGGTATCTCTTCCTAAATCTGCCTTACCTGATTCAGAGAATGCAAACAAATTGTAGTCATTTGCCTAAGCAGTACATAAAAATGGCTACTCGCTGACAGAAGTCTCTGTGGTTTATAGTGGTCACTTTTTAATTTACCCTTACAACAACCCTCTGAGGTCGATATTGCTGTTCTCCCCATTTTACAGATGAGGAAACATAACCTCTGCGGTTGAATGTAAGACGTTAAGTAACTCAGCCAAGCCTGTGGGGACTTCAGAGCCCAGGCTTTATTTATATGCCGAAGCTCTGTTGCCTGCCTGTACGTGTAATGTGTCACAATGCCAAACAGGAATAATGTGTCAAGTTCATTGCTGTTTTGGATCACTTGATAGAGAAAATAGAATTTTTATGTTTGTTAATGTTTTATACAGTCCCACTAATGCTTCAATCAGTCATAGTCACAGACCATTGATTCAATTTGAACTTTTGACCACTTGGTTTTTAAGAGGTCAGACTGCCTTATAAATAAAAAATGCTGTCTACTAAATTTAGTGAAAATCAGTCAAATCCGATGAAAAGCAGATATTATGTCCATTTTCCAAGTAGGAAATTTAAGTCACCAAAAATAAATGTAAGCTCTCCTCTGCAACTTTGTTTCTCAAACTTGCTGCCTCAGGTTCTTGGCTCCTTCTGACTAAATCATCGTAAAGGGTCTGCACAGAGTGCAGAATATGTGGAGTTTGTGAGATGACTTTGCCTGTTGTTGGCCTCGTGTCATGCACCCTGGCACATGGTAGGTACTTGGTGAGGAACAGATATGAGCTCACAAGGTGGCTGGCTGTGTACGAAGTCAGTAGATGGAAAGATGTCCATCTCATCAAGATTTCAGTGGAGGGGGGCGCCTGGGTGGCTCAGTCGGTTGAGTGTCTGACTCTCGGTTTTGACTCAGGTCACGATCTTACGGTTCAGTTTGTGGGTTCAAGCCCCGCGTCGGGCTCCATGCTGTGAGCACCGAGCCTGCTTGGGGTTCTTTTACTCTCTTTCTCTCTGCCCTTACCCTGCGTGTTCGCACGCTCGCTCTCTCTCGCTCAAAATAAATAAATAAACTTAAAAAAAAAGATTTCAGTGGAGGAATGGCATAGCATCCCCAATTTAGTATTTCTTGAGGGCCTGCTATATGCACCACAGTGCCTTATGCTGTTTTCAGATATAAGAACTTTATCTTTTCCATGCCACTTTTAACTCTCCCAAGTAGCCCCACAGGGCAATGGGTTGAAACACTGACTAAGAGATAGTCTTGATTTCAGATCTCACCTCTGATGCTTTGGA